GAGGGAGTCGTCGTGGGGGTAACGGATGCCTGTGCAGTTGTCCTCCGTAAAGGTGATGGGTTCAGTCCGGTGCTTGGGGTGTTTGAAGGGGCGATCCAATGTGGCGACTTCCTTATCGGAGCCTTGTCTGATTTTTCTGATTTTGGCTCGTTGGGCCGAACGAGATGGACCTTCGATCGGGGGGGCAGGGTTGCCTTGTGCTCGGGATTGTGGTGGGGGCCGATCATTGTCCCGTTTGGGTTGTGCTGGTTGTCAGGGAGGGGTATGTCTGCGGTGCCCCCCAGGGGGGTCGGTTCTTGATCGCTGCTGGGGACAGGCTGCCATGAACCGGCTGAGGCAACCCTTTCGTATCAAATCCTCCACCTGGTCTTTAAGGTTAACATATTCCTCTGTGTTGTGGCCGTGGTATTGATAGAAATGGCAGTACTTGGATTGATCTCGCCGGTTAGAGGGAGACCGTGACGGTTGGGGCCATTTCAGGTTGTAATCTCGTTGGATCTGGTTCAAGACTTGTTCCATGGAGGAATTGAAGGGAGTGTACCGCTCGAACCAACTAGGCGGTCGGGTAGGTGCCGATCGGTCGGCACGAGCGGGTCGGTCGGTATACTGAGGGGTTTGTTGTGTATATTGGGAGGCTCTGGTTTCACATTCCTTTCTCTTCTCCCTGGGGGTTTGATTTTTAGTTGTAGTCTCTTGGCGGGCTGCTAAAGAGTCTTCGACGTTCATATATTTTTGAGCTTTGGAAAGGAGGGTGGCCATGGAGGTTGGAGGGTTTTTGGAGAGACTGAAAAGGAAATCGTATGATCGTAAACCTGCCATGAAAGTCATAAGGATGACCTTGTCGTCGTTTTTCGCCACCTGTAGGGCTTCAGTGTTAAAACGGGTGACAAAGCTACGTAGAGACTCCCCCTCCATCTAACGGATATTAAGAAATTGAGTTACCGAATGCCCCTAGCGCTGAGCGCCAATGAAATGGCTCAGAAAGAAATCACTTAGGTGTTGAAAAATAGAGACGGAGTCCGGCGGTAGTTGACTAAACTATAGTCGAGTCGACCCCTTAAGCGTCACGGGGAAAGCCCGACACATGATCTCATCAGGAAAAGCATGGAGGATCATTAGGGTCCTGTAAGTCTTCAAATGGTCAACTAAGTCCGTTGTGCCGTCGAAAGAGTCGATCAAGGGAATTTTGAACTTGGGAGGTAGGGGTTTGTCCCTGATGGAGGCGACAAACAGGGAGTTGGTTGTTGTGGAGGTTTTATTCTGTATGTTCTGCATGACTCCTTGAAGCTGAAGTTTCATGGCTCGGAGTTCCGCATCCCAGATAGGAACATTGTCACCTCCTGAGTGCAGTGGAGGCTGAACACTACTAGCCTCTCCTTTAGGGACAGGAGTTTGAGCGAACGGATGTAAAACTCGAGGTAACGGGTTCATGCCTTGGGGTGGGGCTTGCCAACCCTTTAAGTTGGAGAGGTGGGCTTGTTGGAAAAGATGGCTTGGGGTTTGTTCCCGATTGAGAGGGATATCTTGTGGTGGTGGAGGAAGTATAGGGAGGCTTTGCTGGAGCAAAGCGTTGATCAAGGCCTGGTTTTGCTCGGCCAAGCGGTTGATGGTATTGGTGAGTTATGTGAAGTACTGAGGTGGGTTGTTTGGATTGGGAGGGTCGGCCTGGGGGTCGACGACGTTGTGTTGAGAGGCCATGGATCTCGTTGTGACCATCCATCTTGATAGCCAGCAGAGAAGAATTATCGGGAACGGGTCTCCGGTAACAATGAGCACAACTGTCACGCAGAGTGGCGTTCCCACAAATGGCACCAACTAATGATACTACTAATCCCTGGAGATCCGGTCGGGTTGACCCATGCTTCCAACACCATTCTCTGTTCACTAAGCCCCCCAGGGACCTGCACAAATGCCCAGTGGGGAACGAGAGTCCCCCAGCTGACCCTCCGACGATCAAGTTAGAAGAGAGAGAGGTTAATGGCCAGTAGAGAGAGAATAATGATAGGGAACTTAACTTTTTGTGTCTTGGAAGCCTCCTTATATCCTTTGTTTATCATTTCCTTGTCCACTCCGACCTGTCATGTTGGCCGAAAGTCTATGCTCTAATTTGCCTTGTTCATGGTGAGGCTGCCTGTTTCGACGTGAAGGGATTATTGTATTTAATGCTGCAGGGACCTCATTAATGGCTGATGTGTGGTGCAATAACTCTGCAAGATCTTTGTCTGCTTACGTGGCTGGTTCTCCTCTTGACAAGTGTTTAGATGTCATTGGTTCTTGATACAACGTTGTGTTTCTGTAGTGTTGGACTTTAGTGCTTAAACTGTGAATTAGACTCTAAGTGGTGGGCCAAAAGCTTTTATGAGCCCACCAATATCAAATTCCAAAGTAGTGATGGGGGGAGTTGTGTTGCTTCACAAAATTACAGCAGTTTGATGTAAAGCATAATTGGCTCTTCATTGTTTCATAAAGCTTTCATTGTCCTAAAAATCTGAAGAAACCATAACTAAAATAGACTTATAATGACAGATTAATCTAACTTCCATAAAACCTCACATATCAAAGAAACACAGTATCCGAAAAATGGAAGGAATGAATTAGCAATCATAAATCAGGAAGAACGCCCCAATATTCCTTTTCTGATTGTGTGTTTATGTTTACACAATATTTTCTTATTCTAATCTCCCAGAAAGCCAATTAAGGATGAATTTGCGGTGAATTGTTCCAATGCTATGATCACTTGCTGAGAAAATGAAACTACAGAACCCAGTTAGGTAAGTACCTTTTTTCCAACCTTTTATATCATAATCCTTTATCACTGATCAATTTCTTTACTTCTCCTAAATTTCTTGAGAAACCAAAGTAATCCAGCATAAATACCATAGAATTTGAATTGCAATTGTTGTGAAATAAGCCAACACACAAACAATAGCAACAAGAAAGCAAAACAATCTCACACAAGAAATGAGACATAGAGATTTATGTGGTTCGAAAAAATTGTCTATGTTGACAGCTCACACCAATTTCACTAGAGAATGAAAAGAGAGAATAAGGAGGCAACAATATATGGCGCAAGGTTGCATCAACAATTACCAAACCACCCTAGTACTCAAAACTTGATGAGTTTCACCACACATGTCTATTCCTGATGCAATTACATATGAGATAGTAAATTAAATATGATATATAAATGTGGTCAACATTACATCATTGATTCTCATTATATAAAAAAAAATATTATTATTAATGTATAACATTAAAATTTATAGTGGTCCAAACTAAGTAAACACATTCTCAACCTTAATTATAGGAGCTGGCTTTCCTACCATCTATCCCTAATTTAGAATTGATGGTGTTGTCTAGGCTCGTAAGGTTAATCATGGGTCCTGTTTCGATAACTTTAACTATTTATTTTGTCAAACTCTTCATCTATATTATTCATAAAAAAAATTAAATCAATCTGATAATCCTTATCTATTCAATTTGTTGTATTTATATTCAAAAAAATAAAAAATAAAAGAAACAGAACACATGATGAGGCCCAGATTCAAAATCACAATCATTAATATATATTTCCCAACGTATCAAATTTTAAAAACAAAATTCTAAAATTATATCCAAGACAGGCACACTTTTATCACACTTCTATAAGACCATAGTCATTATTTATTTTTATTTATTTATTTTTTTTGTTACAGGAAATTCCTCCCACTCTCTCCTAGATCCAGGGCAGCGCTCATTGCAGAAATTACCAAGGCGTCCTGTTGTCCGTTCCGAGATAGAAGACTATAACTTGGGAACTTGTCCCAACCTCCCAAAACAAGTTTCGTTTAAGTCAGGACTCGAGCATTGGGCTCACACCAAGTGTTGTGGTAGCAATAATTTGAGGTCAACATCCTAACCAACTGCCCTACGCCCAAGAGATTAGACCAAAGGGTTTTGAACTTAAGACTAGAATCTTAACCTCCAAACCTTCACTAAGTTGCCAAACACCCTTTAGTTAATAGCCATATTTTTGACTTACCTTCACATAGTTAACGTTGAAGGGTATATAGTTGCAGGGGCCTGAGATATACAAACAACAATACATCGTGTAGGACAGATTCAGATCAATAAGTCATATCCAGGAAAAATTATTAAGTGTGCGGTGACTATGTGCTAATCATTCATATTTTGTTATTCTTTTATATTATTTCTATATTTTAAAATCACATGAGTAGAAAAGTCAACAGGAGGGACTAGAGCGGATCCTGACTCCACAACTTGTTACTGGGACTATTGTATAATTTTGCTATAGGGTGATACCTCGAAAGACCAAATAATTATTCCATATATGTAGAAGTCTTTCAAACTGTTGCAACGGCTACAGCCGCATCGTCGCCGGCGTCAATCCTTCTCAACCCTCTCCTCAATTTTCACCGAAAAACCACCTTTCATCTTGGACGCCAGATGAGCTATTAAAATAGGCTCTTCACCTTCCTCAAAAGCTGGCACAACTCGAAACCGCCGCAAGACACCAGAAACCACCCTCTTCATCTGCAAGAACGCCATCTCTTTCCCTAAGAAAATCCTCGAACCTGGCTGGAACACTGGATGAGTGTGTGGCTACTAATTGTTTAGTCGCCAACAAATTTTCTTTTTATTTTTTAACTACTAGGCTAAGTTTAGCATGATTGAAAAAAGATAAAAAGTCAAAAAGTCACTATCCTATTTAAATCACATCATCTTATTTAAGTCACATCACTTCTCTAACACATCACTTCAAACTCAACCCAAACCCAACTCATATTTCATAAAAAGTCAAAGTGCACTTATTTAAATCATCCCAAACAACCCCTAAGACTATTTTTAATGCTTTAATTGTCTTGTGATATTTTAATGAAATCATTTGTTCACTGTGTCTTCTAAAATAAAATTGTGATTAGAAGAAAAAAAGAGAAATTATGAATGTAAGAGTTCAAAAAAAAGGCCTGAATTGTTAGAAAGGTTGAATATGGGGTTTCTTATAAAATGTTTTGAAGGAATGAGGCATGTTTGATAAAAAAAAATCGTGGTGTGCATATGAAGCTGATGACTATGTCGGTGACGAAGTTTTCATCTGAATGTCCAGAACTAACGAATCGTGATAAAAGATCAACGGATTCGAGCGATAATTTTTCTCTCAGTTCTTGCTTCTTTTCTTTGACTATTTCTCTGGCGAATTCCCGAACTTCATTGACAGAAATTCGAAGCTGTTTCTCAGATCCAATGTCGAGAAGCCGTTTAGTTTTCCAAATCAGGGGATGAAAGGCTCTGAACCTTTCACTGCTGATTTGAACAGCAGTTTCGAAGGCTAAAGCGAATTTTTCTTGAGGAAGAGATGGCAGCAAATAGGCAGGATCGTGTCCGAAAGCAATCTTGCATATGTTGTCAAATCCGAATCTCTGAAGAATGTCCTGAAGATCAAGCACAGTTTTGTTCGCAGCTGCGGTGGAGAAGATAGGAATGAGGCTATCTGAGAGCTCCGTGTCGACAACAGTTTCGACAAATTTGCGTAAAGATTTGGTGTTGAATTCATGGCTAGCAACTTGTCTCTGGAACTTCCAGTTCTCGCCGTCAACATTAAAGATGCCATCGCCAAGTAGGTCGAAGATGTGTGTTCGAAAGAATTCGCCTTTTTGGTAGATATGGAAATGGGTCTTGAGAATATGCTGAACATTGGAAGGATTGGCAGTTAAGACTTGGCGGCGGCCCAAAGGGCGGTGAAGGACGAAGGTGGAAGTGGATGTGCTGGTCAGAATATCTGATGTCCATTGAATGAGTCGGGTTCGATTTGCATAGATCGAGAGGAAAGAGCCGATAAGGGGGTATGATCTTGGACTCTTAGCGGACTTGTTGGAGGAACAAAAGCTTGTGAAAATAGACTTGGAATTGATGATGAAGAAGAAGAAAAGTAAGGATAAAAGGCAAAGGAGCAAAGAAATTGAGAGCTCCAGGTCTAACATGGCTGCTGTGAATGTGATGACCCAAAAACAAGGGAGGTTTGCTGGACTGAAAACAGATGTGATGGGGGATTTATATAAAAAAAATAAATAAATAAAAATTAATAACACTACAAATTTTTTTAAAAAAAAATTGTTCTGAAAATTTAATTTAAGAATTTAGAAAAAAATTACGTGTGAGAGGTATTTTTAAAATTTAATTACAAATTTATGATTTTACTTTTTTAATGTTTATAAAATCTGTCATTAATGCCTCGTTTGAGAACAGGCTAATTTAGTAACTTTTTGGCTAATTGGCTAAACAGGTAGGTAAAAAAAACGTGTATGTTTGGGATGACTTTTTGGCTAATTACAAAAAGATGTGCAAAAAGTAGAGAGAAAAGAGAATCTTTGACTTTTTGGTATGTGTTGTTGGCTTTTTGGCTAATTTAGTAACTTTTTGGCTAATTGGCTAAAATAGCCTCTTGCCAAACGAGGCCTAAGTTAAAAATATTTTTCTAAATATACACTCATGTAAAAAAAATTCAAAAATTTATTTCATTATTTCACAACAACAATTTTTATTATATATTTTGAAACAATTTCAGAATTTTTTTCTTGTCCATTGACTTTCAAAAAGAATAATGCTATATGTATTAATTAATGTATTAACTAATGTATCAATTGATGATATAACATAATTTAAAAATTTTTTAACATTTATAATGTAATTAATAAATAAATTTAATAATAATGTCATACCTAGTGTTAATATATTAATTAATAAACTAATGGATACATATATTACCATGGTTCCAAAAAAAACCCAAAAATCATAGAGTACCGCGTGTGTTCCACCAATCGTCTTTTTCTTTTTGGTGGGACATCACTAATCATCTTTAAGACTTTTATGTGGATTTCTTTCTCACCAAGGATCTTCTAGAGTGAAATTTTCCTAAAATTTTTTAGAGTATTATATTATGTGGTTGAGATTTACTGGCAAGTTACATCAGAAAAATTGATGTGACTTGTCAGTAAATCTCAACCACACAATGTAGCACTCTAGGAAACTTTAGGAAAAAATCACTTTAGAGGATCCTTGCTCTTTCTTTCTTTCTAATGTTATGGGAAATTTTAATATACACCTCTTTTAACAAGGGTGTATTATATAGATATTTAGGGATGGTTTGAGATGGTTTAAATAAGTGTATTTTTTAACTTTTTATAAAATATGAGTTAGATTTGAAGTGATGTGGTAGAGAGGTGATGTGACTTAAATAAGATAATGTGACTTAAGTGGTGTTTGACAAGTTGGTTTGTGATTAAAATAGTCACAAAAGACAAAATAAGCTATTTTAGCCACAACAAACAAAACATCACATCCAACCCATAACCATTCCACTATTCTCTCACAAAAAAAATAAAAAAAGTCAAAAAATCAAAAAACCCTTCCCAAACCGAACTTTTTAACCCAGGCTAAAAAAGCCAACCCATTTCCAAACGGAGGCTTAAATAGAATAGTGAATTTTTGACTTTTTGAATTTTTTAGGTTATGACAAACAATGTCTTAGGTCTTGTTTGACAAATGGTAATTTTAGTTAAAAAATTAAAATATCATCAAAAAAAAAAAATCTATAATTTTTACACTACAAATCTATACACAGTGCCTTCACGTGAAGTGTGCCAAATTCAATGTAAAAAGACATTTTTACCCCTCATTGATGTGTCTTTATTTCGTATTTACCCCTCCTTTATGTCAAACGTTAATGGATGACTATCACAGCCGGGCAAGGATCCCCTTCTTGACTTCCCTACTTAATTTCCTACTTGATGGGTCATTGAGCCGACTTTTGGGTCTAATTTTCATGATACGAACTGTTTATATTTTAAAATTTGTCATGTATACCATACCTGTAAAAAATCAAGTCGATCGGATATCAAAAATCACATGATCTAAAAGTTTTATTAAACAATAAAACTACTTATTAAATTTTTTTTAATAAACAATTGTTAGGTTTTTCGATATTCGATCAATTTGATTTTTTACAGATATGATGTACATGACAAATTTTAAAATATGAACAGTTCAGATTATCGAAATTGGGTCCAAAAGTGAATCCAATGGCCCATCAAGTAGAGGAGTCAAAGAGTGAATCCTTGCTTATCACAACCATCAGTACTACGAATAGAGTTTAATCATGATTTGACATTGGAATGCAGACTTTTACCAATAGTTTGATTGTGACTTGAAACGAGGCCTTAAAATAAAAATAAAAATAATACAAACCATCACAAACACTCCACCCTCACGACCCCACATATACTTGTCAGAGAGATATGAAAACAAAAATAAAAACACACATAACCAATCACAATCATTTTAGAGTCATGAGGGTCCTCTAAAATGGGGGTCCCAATTATTTTCCAAATAAAAATTTGACAACATTATTACAGCACACAAATTACATTCCATATCACTATTTTATCGGAACACAAACAAAACGTACAAAATTTGTCATTCCCTCCATTCTAAAATAGTAGTTCATTATTCTATTTTTTTTTATTATCCCAAACTATTACTCCTTTCTCAAAAATTACTCAAAAAAATAATATAAACTTGTTATGTTGCCCTTTTTTAACATTAACAACAAATAAAATATAATTACAACAATTGATATTTTTTAAAAATTATACTATCAAACGATAATTTTTTAATTTTTTTTAAGTGCAATTATTAAACTATAAAAAAAAAAGATGAATTATTCATTACAAAATATTCAAACTTTTTGCAAAATAAAAAAAAAATAAATTCAAACAAAATATCACATCCAATCTCATAATCATTTCACTTTTTCTCTCACAAATATCACATGCAACCACAAAAAAACCCAACTATCTTTCCAAACACCAAAAAAATTTTCTCCAATAATATCTTACAACTAAAAAAACTTTCTCCAATAATATTTTACAACTAAAAAAACCTACATAAAAACTCACTTCCCAAACACTCACATTATTTTAGAACAAATGGAGTATATATTGATATATATATGTTGTCAAGTCAAAGTCCATTTTTGTTCAAAATTTAAAAAAAAAAAATTAAAAAAAGAGAACCAACTACCGACATAAAATGACCACTTGCAGGTTGGCAGCAGTCTGCCATGTCACAAGCATGTCACGGGTGTGTGAGTGAATTTTCGATCACACTGCCAACTCAGTATTCAGCTGGAGAGCACTGGCAAAATAGATGACACCCGTTTGACCTGCAACAGAAAGAGAAGATTCCAGTGGTGGTTCGTCCACCCGGGGGTACTCCGACGATCAAGTCAGTATATCTCTCAAAGATAATCAATAGTGCTAAACTTACTGTTCAGAATATAAATTGCATACCTTAGACCCATCGGGGATGCCTTTCTTTTATAGTTAACTCAATCCTTGTCCCAACAGAAGCCTAGCTTTAATGGACTTTAGCTCAGTGCTTATCCAGGACTCTTCTATAGATAGAGATAAACTCCCTAAGAGCTTTATCTTTATCCAGGCTGAGTCCCCTCATCATTCTAGGACTCTTGTGCCTTATCCGCTTATCTCGGATTCCGATATCTTCGGAGATAACCTCAGCCTTGTCGAGATAACCTCGGCGTCATGACCAGGACACGTGGCACCTCGACTGACACGTCGGCGTCACCTTGGCCACGTGTTGGTACTCAGAAAATATATCTCTACAAGTACATAATTTTTTTTAAGACTCCATCAGTATTTCAAATGCTTCACCAAAAAATTGAGTGTGTTGGGTGAAAAAACTATAAAATTTGAGAATATAAAATATTCATAGTGTGAATGATTTAAAACTTCCTGTTAATACATCGGTTTAAAGTTTCTCAGCCGAGATCATCATATAGACCGACATGTCTCTTTGAGGTTTAAAGATTCCAAGATCTCCTTCACGCATATGAGCTGTCATGCAAAATAACTCAACCGTTTCAGCCATGCGTCTTCCTTTTACTGGATCGTACTCCGTACGCGCTTGTAAGTCATCTCGCGCCTGCATGCGCCGTCTGACAAATCCGTTTTTCTAGGCTCATCAATTCCTTTTTGCCGCCTTTTCACGTTTTTTGACAAAACCAATATCCCTTCTCTTCGTTTCTTCACTTTACATCGTTTTTGAAGCTCTCTCTCTCTCTAGCTTTCCCACATCCTCCATTGTTTCAAGCTTTCAAGCTCTGCTATCACCACTGTTTATCTTCCTCCGACGAGGCTCTTGCTAATCTTTCTCCGCTGCTGCCGTTCGTCTGACTTCGGCGAACTCAACATCGGCTTCTTTCCTTTGGTGAGTTACTGTTTTCTTCCCGATTTTAGTTCTAGTCATTTTTCAAGAAGTTTTGCTTCATTATTTGCCATTGCCGTCTTACTCAAGTATTTGATTTATGAATCACGCATCTGAATGTGCTTATTTCATGATTTTGCTCTTGCCCATGTCTTGAATACACGTACTGCCCACAACTTTTCTGCACTTTTTCCACTGTTCTTGTCCTTATACCCTTTGTATGTTCTTGATAGTCCATCTTTGTTCTTGATTCTGAAGCGCATTCTTGCTTTCTGTTTTCCAGATTCGTGCCTTCAATCTTCGTTTCCATAGATCTAGGTTTGGGATTTGTTTGTAGAACCCACAAATTCTTAGGAAAAATTTGAAAACGATCCCCACAATTTCTTACCCTACAAATTTTTAGGTTTTTGCCGAGGTCCCAATAACCCTTTTAAAACACCTTCATTCTGAAACCCAGTTCCTCCTAGTTAGGCCGATATCATGGGTATGTGGAAACATAGGGTAGACACGCCGACCATGTTAGATCACTTTAGGCGTGAGTTTGACATCCCTGCTGTAGACGCGCTCGAACGTCCCGGGGGAAATCCCGTTTTGTCCATTGGGCTTACTACAGTTCGGATTCAATGTCACGGTTCTTAATCTGATCTCGTAAAGTGCAATATGAGATTGATAAATCACCAAAGAGTCCAAATCCGGCAAATCATTTTGAAAAACTGATTTTTAGAAAGAAGTGCCAAACATGGACTGCTTTGCCAGATACAGA